TGCTGGGATTGATGTCAAAGGATGAGGGAAAAAGACATTGCCACCACCACAAGGTGAGAGAGGCAGACCCAACACCCTGGGCTCAGCAGGAAAAGAGGTTCAAGAATTTTGGGCAGTCTCAGTATGAAGGTGGTTCAGCAAAGACATGGTACCTCTAGGTATAAAAATTAGCACAGCTCTGAGTATCTACAATTTTTTTTTAATAGATATTTTGAAAGTTTAAGCATTTTTCACTGTGTATGATGCAAATTATGGCTGAGTTTTGTGGACCATTTTTAGCAAGTTAAGAGAAGAAATTATGGCATTTTTGACTTTGTCATCTTGTTGAGAATTTTTGAAGTTACATGAATTATGGTCTGTGAAACAGGCATGGTGAGGTAATTAATTTTCACAGAGGCTTTAAAATACAGGAGGAACAAAACACTTAGGCATGGAAAATGCACTTCTCCTGGTCTGGCACTGGCATTTACTGGAGCTTGGAGGAATAGTTTCTAAGGAAAAAACCCCTAAACCTCTTGCTATTTGTGTGAGTAATATAAAGATTACTAGTTCTCTTGAAGAACTGTCCCATTGTGAGCTGAGATTAAATGCCTCACTTCGTATTTTCTTGGTGATTCAACTGTGAGGGACTTGACTCTTCATTACTAATTTCCCTTAAATAATTATTTAAAACTATTAAACCTCAATTAATTTGAGGTTGGATTCCATACAACTGACCATGTTTAGAATTAAATGCAACAATTCAATGATTAAGAACTTATTTTACAAGTGTTATGTTTTGTGATGATGCCATTTCAATGTATACACAAAAATATGGTCAAATATTTCCGTATTTTCTATTAAACTCTACTTGTACTTCTGAAAGACACATTGGAAACTTGTAATAATTTTTATGCTTAATTTTGCATATGTTAAGAATTGGTAGAAGAGGAGTTTGAGGGAATTAATGAGAGTCACCTGTCCACCAAAATCCCACCCATAAAGCACCCTTCCTAGATGGCGCTGAAATTTCTGTGTATTTCCAAGCTGCCATTTGTCTTAGACAAGCTTATTTAATTGAATTTCATGCCATGGTTCCTTCCAAATGCTTTGTACACAGTACCTACATATGTTTTCTCATTTAGAAAGTCTTGCTGGCAAGTAATTTCAAGTGATTCTGTTCATGATCCACAGCAGGATTATTATAGATTGATGCGTGACAGTGTCTTGGATTCCTGGTAGAACATCATTTAGGATACGAACCTGCATACACATACAGTACTGGGAGGGTAATTGTATTTGGTTTACCAAGACTAATTTATTGAAACAGGCTCATTATCTGGCCTATTATTGGCAACCTGAGTTTCATGTATCCTTTTCACTCTCCTCTCTTCCTCTCCCTTGCACCGTCTTTTCCTCCTTTTCATCCCCTCATCCCTGCCCTCTTTCTGGCTGTCTCCCATGAATTCATGGACAAGTAGCAGAAGCCTGAGATACCATCTTTGCTACAGTTTGAAAAAGGACTACATGCAAATAACACTCCCTCAGCTTTGTGTAGCATCATCAGTGACTTTTGAGGCCTCTGTGTCATGTACTGTCCTTGGGACAGTGTCACTGAGATGACAGAAAACTCTCATAAATCTGGGCCACCTAAAAATAGGGCAGCTCCTCAGTGACTAAGCTCTCACTGTGCTTTGCTCCCCATAAGGGATGCTCAGATGTGTTAGGGCCAGCAAAAACTCCCTGTGCACTACTTACAGTCTCAAAATAGAGCTTATGCTGCATATAAGTGGCTCCAAAGACTTATTCTGGCCCTCTGTGCTGGAACGACTGTTGTGCAGCACGCGTGCAATGACTGCATCCTGATGAGGAGTGGTGTCATCTGATGCTAAATGACAAGGGAGCAAACCAAACACAGGAAGGTCTTTGCTTGCTGCAACAGCTGCTCCCGCTGCTAATTGATGCTGTGTATCTGTGGCATCATCCCAGTGCTTATTTTAGGCTGTTTCCAGCTGTGAAGGTTTTTGTCTCACAGCTAGTGGTATCTGTGCAGCTGGCAGAGTGAGGTAAAAATAAACACAACTAATTCAGCAAAGCAATGAGAAAAATGCACAAAGAAATGTAAAAATATTATAAGTCAAGGTTATTTGGGAGAGACATCTGAGTTTGAGTGGAGAGCGACTGATCTGGCATGGAAAAGGGTTGATCACCTGCCTGTGACTGTCAAGAAAAGTGTAAGATTTTAATGTGAATTTGGGACTTATTAAACTTGTTAGATGACAAAATTTTCCAAAGACCAAGGTCTGATGGCACTATTGACAGTTCCTCTACAGTGGCCTACACATACATTTAAACATTTACTATTAGGGAGGCATTTTTAAGAATGAGAATATATTTATTCATATATTATTTTAATGAATTCTTTGCCTCTTTCCTGAGTAACAATTAAGCAATTACTGCTAATTAGAGGCCTTTTTTGTTCCTCTTTTAATTAGGATAGCTCTCCTTAAGAAATAAAATTTGTATTATCAAACTCAATTCTCCACTTTCCTCACCTTTCTTCCAGTAACACCCAAGTTCAAACAGCATTAAGGATGGCTGCAAAGATAATATGCAGATATATGAGACCCTAACCACCTGCTGCCTTTATTTGCAAGCTAAGACAAAACCAACCAGACAGCAGGTCTTGTCCTGCAGTTGAATATCTAACCTGTTTGAAATCAGCCTGTATCTAGGTAATTTTAGAGGAAAAGTATCAAAGCAGACTTCCCACTAATTCCTTATAATGTTTAGATGTTCTGACTATTGTAGGAACCTTGGCACTGGGAAATTGTCATGAAAAGAGAAAATCTGCTCACTGGGTATTCTGTTTATGTGCTTTTAATTATCTTACCTGCTGGTCAAAACAGCTATAAATATGTGGAACTACAATTATTTTAGACCTCATTAAGCATCTGAATGTTTGTAGTTCTGGAAATTTGTCTTGAGCTTTAGAGACAAGAAACATAAATACTTCTACCTTTATTCCAAATATATGTTTCCTGGTTTAAGTTTCAGTTAAGTCTAGGGAGTTTTCCTCCTTAAAACAGAATTTTACTGATTTTATTTCAGTAAGTTTTTCCAGAGATATTTGTATTCTTAAAAAATGCTTGTAGTTGGCTACTGTTTTGTGGAAAATGTAGGTCATGTGTTTGTTAATGACAAAATCATCATGTAGTTTCATTAATTTAGGAAATTAATTCCAATTTTCCAGAGGGAAATATATCAACTAATGTTTTGCCTCAGAGTTATGTATATACCATCACAAGAGGTACATCAGTTTTGTGGGTGGGGAGCCTGCTCCAGCAGTGCTAGATTAGCCTGAAAATGCTGACCTCTGCTCATTTTAAATATGTAACAAATTCCTCCTTGCCAGAGCTTAGGGAACTGGCATTCCCAGGTCAGTCACATTACCTAGAAAGCAAATGTGTTCTACTTACAGCAGCAAGACATGAGCTAACAGAGAGGTAAAATAAATGAACTTTATTTTATCAAGTAGCTTTACTTGATATTCTTGCTCAGCTATTTTATTTACAATATCATTAAGTGTTTTCTTAATGCATTCTGATTTGTTTCATAAGGAGAAATGCTACCTAGAAACAAAAAAACAAACATTGCAAAAGAAAAGAAGCAAGATCATGGAATAATATTTAGTTAATCTACAATGACAGAGAAGTCCCTATTTGGTCTCTTTGTTTCAGGATATCCATTTCCTAGTTTCCTGTAAGTCTGGATCCTACACTGGTGTAGAGATATATTAATATTGTTATATGGCAGCTGAATAAGATATGAAATCATATCTCTTTATATAAGCTTTAAATCAAAGTAATTTGTCCAGCATCACCACATTTATATTGACAAATTTAATATAGACATTGATAATTGATATAGGCTCGTATATTGATAAGTTTAATAAAAAAATATATTTTAAAGTAGCTAAAATTAATTTAAGTTTAATATTCCACCAAGTAGGAAAGAAATTTGTTGCCCTTCATTCAAAGGAATACTTTAACGTCCTTATTTATGATTGGCTCAGTTATAGATATGTGAGTAAATAAGGAGACATTTTATATCTGCTCTTATCTCATATTCAAACATCTTCAGTATAAAAAATCCCACCCTTTCTTAGTTTTGCAGAAAAGTATATGAGTGAAGCTCATTATAAACTCAATAAGCCCTGGCTGGTAATGGGACTTTTCTCTTGGGAAAAGAGTGTACAGTGGTTGAACCTTCAAAGACATCTATTAAAAAAATTTGGTTTGCTCTGGATTCACAATTGTGTTCAGTGTGTATTTTTGAAATGTGTGCATCTTTAAAAAAAATCTAGACAATGTTCCACCTGTGAATGAAGCTTTCCAGAATACTTTGCACAGCCAGAGGATAGATAACATCTGTCTAGTTAGTGCTAGAGGAGGTTTTGTCATTAACTCTGCTGAGACCAGGATTTTATTCAGTTAGTTTGTGTTTTGCTTTAGGGTGGGGCAGTAGAGCTGAGACCTCACATAAGGATGCAGCTCTTGTAGAAGTAACTTGCTGCCTGCCAGGCTGCTGTATTGCAGCCTGCAAGAAACACCAGTGCCAGTACAAGCAGAAAAGCATCAAAGTGTAATTAACACAGTTCCTTAAACTCTAACTTCTCTTCACAGTGTTCCAAAGCCTGTATCTGATGAGGCTGAAACTCAGCAGTTTATGCCAGATAGGCAAAATCCAACACAGAGATAACCCAAATTTTTGACCACAAGCCTGAAGTTGTTCCAGTGGAATGAGTGCTGCCGAACAAGAGGTCTCCTCACTGCTAAAATGCTATCCTTAATGCATCCCCTCTCAAATAAAATCACTCAGAATTATATCCATGGATGTGCTACCTAAAGGGACAGTGACCCAAGGAGAAAAAAGCCCGAGAGTTGAGAAGAAAAACTTCCTTGGATATATAAGAATCAATGATTTTAAATTTTTTTTTTTATTTTTTTTTTTTTCCCTAGAGCATCCCATTCCTTTTATCAAGCCACCTAGGTAGATTCTTGAATCCACCTCCTGGAAAGGAGGCATAAACCTGCTGCCTGAGCTGTCTTAAGAGCTTGATCAAGCAGTGAGGTAAGTGCCTTTTACTACATGGAAACTACAAGGTCAGAAGGGGAAAAAGTACTGACAAGATGGTGATTATGAGCATTAATCATAATAATATCAAGGTCTTATATAGCACTTTTCATCAGGAGATTTTAAAGCACTGTAAAAAAGAAATGAGTCTCATTATCTCCATATTTTAGATCTAAAATGTGACCTCCAGTACATTAAGGCTTGTTCTCTGAAGGGTAAAAAAAAGACTTCTAGAATCAACAATACTTATTATTTGTTAATTTTCTAATCAATACAGTGAATGTTTTTAAATCTACTTGTTCTGTGGACTGTGTAAGGGAATTTTAATTGCTTTGCTTTAACTTGATATAGAACTAATGAATAAATATAATTTTTATCAGGATGCTGCCATCAGGTAATTGAACCAGTACATTGACATTTGCAGGACAAATCCAGAAATTCTGTTAGCACATTTAATTATGTTGCTGGTTACGGCTTCATTTGTTGGGGATTGGTAATTGGATATCTGCATGTTGCAACGCACAGTAGAACGGACCAGCTTAAACCACCTCCTGCCAGCCTTAAGGAAGCAATGAATTCAGAAGGTCAGCATTTCCTAAGATTCCTAGAGCTGATGCCCAGCCAGCTCCTGGCTCCAGGCTACCCTTCCCCTTGGTTCATGATGTCATTTGATATGGAATGTCTCTCTGGTCATTTTGAGTCAGCTGTCCTGGCTGTCCTCTCAGTTTCTTGTGTCCCCCCAGCTGACTTGCTGTTGTGGAGGTGTGGGAAGCTGAGAAATCCTCGACTTAGCATAAACACTGCTTAGCAGCAGCCAAAACAGTGTGTTGTCACTATTATTTTCATACTAAATCCAAAAAACACAGCACTGTACTACTAGCTACTAGGAAGAAAAATAACTCTATCCTATCTGGAACCTGGACAGCAAGGCAAATGGAGCACTAGCATTGTAGTATATTTTGGTTTGGGTAATAAAATAGGCAAGGCTTGCATTACTGAAGAGAACTGGGATGTCCTCCAGAGTGGCAAGTCAGAAATTACTTAGCTGGAATCCTTATCTTGAAATCTTTTTTTTTGCTTAAGTAACTATGAAAATAAATGTTGAACATTCAGGTGTAGCAGAAATTTTGGTTCAGAGTAAGGTTTGAAGAACATAGTGATTTCATTAGGAGCACATTGCTCACAGTTTTCCTGCCGTTATTCCTTGAGGACCACAGTTCCACATTACTTGGCAGGAAAGCGTCTCTAAGGAGATGTGAATCACAGCCTGTTACATCACAGTGTGGCAAATGAGTGATGTCAGATTTCCTGCTTGGATGTAAATGCACAACACTGTGCAGCTCCCCACCTTAACTGCTGAGGATGGAAACTTCCCCTTATGGAGGCTGGACTTCCCTACTGAGCCCATCCTCTTTGAGCACTCCTTGAAGGATGACAAATATGGCACCTCTTCTCATATTACCTGTAGCTCACTCTTTTTACTCTTTCAGATGGCAAAATGCCTCTTGAGCCATCTCTCTGCTATTCCTTCTGCTCTCACGGTTGTCTCTTGGAAAGCAAGTTCTAAGGACAGATGTTGCTTTCTCTTTTCATTACTACTGCATCTCTTTGCAGATACATACCATACACCACAAGGTACAGTTCATAAGTGGATACTTATGAAAATATTATAGCTACAAGGTCTCCATGCCATTCATTTAAGCACACCAGTATTGACTTTGCCCCCATTTCATTGGTGTTATCTTACAGTGAAACTGCAAAAATTAACAGCTGTGAATATTTAACAACCACTTTTCCAAGGTCCTGGTCATTAGGTCATTAGGTCATTAGTTTCCTTTCTGATAATGGCCATTAAAGGGTAAGTAAATACTCTGCTTTGTCACTGTCCCAGTACAGCAAATTATGTTCTTGTTATGCATCACATTGCTAATTTTTGTGAATGGATAATGATTAAAATCTATTTAGCAAGTGTGACACAATTTATGAATGCAGTAAGCTTATTCTGGAAGGAGTTTCTTTTTCTTTTTTTCTGACCACTGGATAAAATATGTTAAAGAATATTAATCTGCTGTGATGGAATACTTTGATAAGAAGTTGAAATTCTTGCATCTAAGACAAAGGTACAGCTATATTTGCAGCAGGAAAATAAAAATTAACATGGGCTCAGAGTATTAGGTATTAAGGCCAGGATATTCACCTTCTAGACTAATTTCCTGTTTGCTAAACCCATTTCATTGAGGATTCAAACTACTGAAGAAATGTGCAGTACATGTGCATCTCAGGTAACTCTGGGAAAAAAAACAGTCTAACATTTTCAAGTCTGAAAATCAAAGTCAAGCTCTTTCAGACCAGCAGATTTGGAAATCTCTCTCACATTTCCATAAAAACCCTCCCTGCATTTGGTCACAACTTGACATATTTAACTTGGTGACAGACAGGCTGAAGGTATTAAGGGAAGTTACTGAACCAACTGTAACTAATGCCACAACAGGTTGCGAGCAGAAGAGAAAAAATGAAAAATATTAGTACGTGTATTGGAACTTCTGTTTAAAAATATCTTTTAAATGACTGAAATAGCTAGATGAAGTTTGGAGAAGAAAACACAAGAAACTCAGTCTGAGTCCCCTGCAGCATCCAAAATGTTTTTTCTACTACTTCTCTCTTTATTTGCCAAATAAGCAAATCAACAATGAGGGCTATATTTTCTTCGAAAAGTATTTTGGAAAATTACTTTTTAAGACAAAATTTATGAGAAATGTTTCTTGAAAATGTAGTCGTGTACAATAAAATTTTTTGGTTTTTTATTTTTTTTTATTTTTTTTTCATTCCTGTTCATTCTAGAATTCCCCATCCCTCTTAGCAGGCAACATAAATAAAATACCTGATTGCTTTTGTACTTTTGGGAAAACCAGGTAGATTCCTCTTCCATGTGCTGAAGAAATGCAATGCAAGTTTTCACACCACTAAAACTCCTTCTGACAGTCAGTCCTTTTCTTGAGACTGTGCCTGAGTACCCCAGTTAATTCACTCCAATTGATACTACTAGCATTTTGCCTTTCTACATCTTCTCTCCAATTGCAATCAGCTGCTGTAATAATTTGTTTCAAAGTGAAATAGACATTTTTTTCTTTATCACCATTTATTTACTTATTTTTAAGTGTGCTGCCATTCCAAATAGCAGAAAAATGCATCCCAGGGCCACAGAGGTATTTTGATAATTCTTCAAAAGAGGAAAGATGATGGTAGGCATTGGAAAATATTTTATTATAAGACTTACTAAAAACATTTGCAAAGTAAACCAAATAACAGAAGCCTACTGTATTGCACAGCTGACCATATGAAAATAAAATTTAATAAAATTGTTTTGAAAACCCTAGTTTACAGAAGGAAATGTAGTGTAGTTGTAGTATAGAAACGGTCAGGGAAAAACTGTACAGGGTTTCTCCATACTCCAGCTGTGCTGAGAAACATTGTGTGGTGAAGGGGTTAAACTAGACTAGACACAGCAGGGATATTTTGTCAAATAACAAGAAAAGCATTTAACTGCTATATTTAAAGGGCTTATATGGAGGATGAAGACATCCCATCATCTTTGGGTCTGTGGAAGAATGGAACAGAACCTGAAACAGAAAGCAGTCTTATATGTGGGGGACTTGACAAGTTTGTTTCTGTGTTATTCAGTCAATTTTTGCTGTCATTCTCCAGCATAGCTCTTGAATCCATTCAACCTCTAATAGCATGAGAGACTCTTTATTCACTGAGGAGGTGTTGATTAATCAAATTATGCAAGGAGTTGTCTGAATTTTCTTCTTAGAATTCAAATACTCCAATGCAATTATTCTGTGAAAAATTTGCACATTTTCACTGGCACTGATCACTGCTGTGGCTGATGTGCTCTGATAAAGTCCAGTGTTTCTAGGAATATACTTGGGTCTAAAGTACCAGCTTTTCTAATGATCAATAAGGATTTGAAATCTCATAGTCTAATACCAAGAGTTTTTTGAGGATTAAACTGAAATAAGCTACAATCATATTAACTCTTCTAGAATTTTTGCTGTCTTACATTGTGTTGGAGTTTGCACCCCAAAGTGGCAGGCCAGCCAGGAACATGGAGTTAAGCTAACCAAATTGTTGCTACCTTTGACTAGACTTGGCAGACCTGCAGAGACAAGGTGAGGATCAGCTGACTGAAGAGTCACCTGGATGAGCTGCTGGGGGTCTGGCTGTGCCAAAAAATGCATGCATCTCCTCCACTCCCATCTTCCTGCGCTGGGATGACTGACTGGGCTATCTGCAGGTCTCTCAATTAGCACTGGCTTCCTACATTTAGGGAACTGGCTGGTGCCCACAGAGTTCAGCATTATTCATGATCAAACCTTAGAATGTGTGTATCCACTTAAAGGAGAAGCAGAAAATGGATAAATATTAATTCGATAATAGTTCTGCTTCAGTTAATTTGAGAAAATGAATGGAAAGCAAAAATATGGAAAGTGGAGTGTTTACTCTATATGCTACTTTTTTTTTTTTTTAAGAGAGAAACCAAGTCTTGGAGGCTTCCATTTTTCTGTACTTATGAATGATGATGACATTCTGGAGCTTTTCAGTGCAAGAAAGAGGAACATATTTGAAGTATTTTTGCTAGGGTCCAGTCCCAGTACAAATATAATATAAATATATTGAATAGTATTTCAATACTCTATGTTTTATGGAGAATTTTGTTTTTCTTTCGTTTGTGAAGTTTCTTACATTCATCTGTTTAATGCAATGTCAATAAACCTTTCGGTTTTATTTTCGGTAATAATATCGGTTATTATTATCGGAACCTCTTTCTCTTTTAATCTCCACAGTGGGAAGAAAACACTCCGTAGGTATTCTGTTAGATTTATAATATTGTTAAACAAATAGAAAAACTTATCAGACTACCACGAGCAGTCAAGAGCTAGCAAAAAATGGGGAATTTCCACTCCATAAGAAATTCAGATCTTTTGAAATTTGTTTTTGTATGTAACACTCTAATACTAAACAAAAAAAATTACAGTTGTTTCTTTTGCATTAAGTATTACTCTAGATATTTTGAAGTTGTCAAGTACTCCTGCTCTGTACACTCTGACTGGTTGTGCTGCTTACAGAACTGGGCTTCAGTGACATCCAGAGAGAAAGGAAGACAGTTGGACGGAAGTCCCTTCTCTGAAGGGATGCAGGGGCTACAAGCAACTGCGTATCCTTCCTGTGAAGCACAGTGGTAACTGAGATAGAGACATAGATGCATATTTGATGTGAAAGACAATTTTTGTTTATGAAGAAACAAAACAAAGTACCTGTATATTTTGACTGGAACCAGCCTCAGAGAAATTCCTTTCAGAAAAACAGAGAATGACAACAGGATTGAAGCAATTAGGCTAGTTCCAGTTCTGCAAAATAGATGTTTTCAAAGAGAATAGTTTATACAGGAAATGGTCTGGGCAGATCTTCTTTGTTGTTCTAATGACATGACATACCTAAACTTTTTAAAATAATTGAGTATTTTCCCCAAAAACTGGTGGTTTCTTTGTTCTGTAAAAAGTCCTGCAGTCCTGAGAGGTGAAAAGTAACAGACAACAGTAAAATAGAAACCAAGGGCAGAGTTGGAGATGAAAATTTTATGATAAGTTTATACACCATGCAGGGATATGCAGAGAACACCCAAATACAGTAGGAACGGTATGAATCTCTTCCTTTAAAGTTTAAACTGAAGGCCACAACAATCTCTATTGGATTTTGTCTCAAGCAAAGCTAACACTATAGCTTTCTATAATGGTAATTAGAGTGTATGTATACATACCTATCTCACTCTCTCTCTCCACCCCTCTCTACTGATATATCTCCAAATACAGTAAGTAACATTTATCAGATGGAAAGGGAGGGAGACTGCAAATATACATATGAAGAGTTTGCCTACTATCAGGTGGAATTTCAAGTTGTATTTGTTTGACTTGGTAAATGTGATCTTTCTCTTTAAGTTCATCCTTAAATTTTAAAGCATAATTTGTTTTGATTGAATTTCTAATGTTAATTAGTGAGGCTTGCACTGTTAAAGACATCAAGAACATATAATTACGTTCCTTATAATTATACCATAATTGTTTTAGTATGTTAAATGATCTAATAGATTTTTTCCTGTTTCAACAGCAGTATTACTACCATCTCTGTTTTATGAAATAACTGGCAAGCATTCAGTAGGTGCTTTCAAGCATTTCAAGTAAAGTTTTGATGGGTATTCATCTACTAATGAAATATTCATGCATTATATTTTTCTCTATGACAAGTGACTTTCACTGAAGCGCCTAATGCTCGGTTTGCTTAGACAGATATAACATTCAATCAAACTAATGGAAACTGTGGAGTACTGTTATACTGGTTATTACTAAATCAAATTCTCTTGATAAATATTGAGTCTCTGATGTTAAAAAGCATTTCTAGCATGATGCATGGATAGTAAAGCAATAATCTGGCCCCTTGTTGAAAATGTTAATATTACAGCTGTCATCATTTAACAATTAACATGATTTCCCAAGTGAAGCAATGCCTTAAAGTATTAAAAAATACAAACTGTATGTTTGAGATTTTCCATATTGTGTATGCATTCACTCCCAATGTAGAGCACTTGGATAAGTTTATATTACCAGCAAAATATGTATACTTTCTCTGCTTAAAATTTAGTATTTCCTTCACGTATCATTACTTTCACCCATGTCAATATGAAGAAATCAATTTTGGTAATTTCATAGGCAGGACGCTAATGATCCTCTTACAAAACAGTTGGTAAAGGCCTTTAGAGAATTGTCTGGGCATACTGATGTTGCTTTTCCTACTTGCTGTCTGGTTGCTACATTTCATTAAATGAATCTAAAATATATCAAATGTTTTCCCACAATACTTTTCCATGTGTGTTCTTTTGACAGTTTTTACAAGAAAAGCAGGGTACAAATGTGAAGTGGTTGACAAAATGATGAATAAAACATGCTTCACATCAGGTTTCTAATTTATTAAATTGAAGTTCAGAGTTCAATATTATGCTTAATTTTACCACTTCTGCATATATATGAAAGTTGTGACTCCATCAATTTAATATATCCCTAGTCAACATTATCCCATGGAGGAGGAGGAGGCCACAAAGATGGTTAGAAGGCTTGAGCAACTGTCAAGAGGTGCTGAAGAGAGGCTGAAACAGTTTGGGTTGTTCAGCCAGAGTAGAGAAGGCTCCACAGAGACCTTATAGCAGCCTCCCAGAAAGCTGGAGAGAGACTTTTTCCAAGGACACAAGTGGTTGGAAAGGGGGTAATGGCTTTAAACCAAAAGAGGGAAGGTTTAGATTAGGTATTGGGAACTGGATATAATTCATGGGCACAGGTTGCCCAGAGAAGCTGTGAATGCCCCATCCCCGTAAGTGTGCAAGGCCAGGTTGGATGTGGCCCTGGGCAACCTGGTTTAGTGGAAGGTGTCCCTGCTCACGGCAGGGGTGTTGGAACTCGGTGATCCTCCCTTCCAACTGAAATCATTCTATGATTCTGTGAACCCTAGGTTCATCACCTTTTTGATGACACTGTACTGGCTTTTTCCAGGGATCAGAAGGGACTCTATGAAGAGCCAGCTCATGAGGGAAAGTGCCATAGGAATTCTGGGAAAGAAGATGATCAGTAATGAAATTGCACTGTTTGATACCAATTTAAAGGAGTCACCAAACGTTCAAAAATATTTCACCAAATATTTACTTATCCAGAAAATAGACACTGAAAGTCACACCCTCTATAAATGTGTACAATTCACAGGCCCCAGTGAAAAAAAAAAAAAATGTCCTCATCACACACCATGAAGACACACGATTCTCTGCTTTCACAGAGAAGTTTATAATACCTGGATGCAATACATGGTATTCTGGGATCAGGTAACCCTTGCTTGAAGCTAAAAATTAGATCCAGATGCATTCCAAGGTCTGTAAAAATGGGTTTGGAAAGCTGCCTAAATCTAAGCTAACCTACAGAGTCTTCAACTTGTAGTGGCCTCCTTTGTCACCCTGCAGGTGTTGAAACTGTGAAAAGGTGTCAACACCAGGAGGACTGAAGCCTATTTCTTCCTGCGGACCTGATTCTGGAGCTTTACACTGAAATATTTGATTTAAAATAGTATTCTACATTATTCAGGGATCAGCTAAATTATTCTTTTGACATTGCTGATTTGTTTTCTTCTTTTTTACATTTAAATTAAGAAGGGCAAAGCATGGTGCTAGGAAAATTAGGAAATGTGTATGAAATTACGGAGCAGTAACTCTGTAGGGAAAATGTTTACTCTGCAGGCTTTTCTCTCTAAAACACAACTGCTTTAAAGTATCACATTAAATTCTAATGTGTGTGTATTTAAAGGAAGTACAATATATGTGAGAAAAAGACATGAAGTGCATAAGGTGGGGCTGCTGTGGCTAAGCACTACTTCTAGCAGAATACTACAGTAGTGCCATGAAATCCTACGTAAGTGGTCAGAACATAAGTAAGAGCTGCCTGTGGGTAGTCCCAGCCTATTCACAAGCCCTTTTGAACAATTTTCCTACTTTTTAAAATACTGTTTTTGGCAAACATTTGATACTTGAAATACAAAATGCATGAGTCACCTACTGAGATGGGCACAGTATGTGGTTCATTGAATTTAGCTAAATTGTGAGTAATGTATCAATAGTACTCATAGTGAACATACTTGTAATAATTTCACACATTACAAACAAGAGTAAGTATGATTTTTCAAGATTTTTTCCCAAGCATTTTTCACTGTAAGTTTTTTTACTTTTTCTACTATGTTTCATTTATTGTTGTAGAAAATTGCTAACTTTTTAGTGATGGAGGATAAAAAGAAAAGGTAGCTTACTGCTTGTCAGTTTAAACAACAAAAAAGCAGAAAAGCTAAACCTGACATATTATGAAATGCTGTCTTACAAAGCAAGGTCCTCAATGAGAGATTGGATGAATACAGATTCTTATACACCTATTGAGATTTATTCTTCTGCCAGCATACCAATTTCTCTTGAGATGAGTAATTTTAAAATTCAGAGGCAGCGTTTCTGAAGGAGAGAGCTCCAGATTACTACTGATTCTGAGTTGCCAAAAACATGGTCAGTTTTTGTAGGTTTTTGGGCTCTGGGCTTTTTGCGTGTGCGTGCAGACTGTG